CCCCTAAAGAAAACATTGGCTGGAGAACAGGAGTCATCAGGTGGTTTCAACGAAAAGCAGAAGATGTTGTTGAGTTACAGAGTCTAATGTTTTTTTTTATTAAATATTTTAGTGACCAGTTGTTTGAGGAGATGGCTGAATATACCAAAGATTTACTCCCACAGACATACAGGAGATGAATCGGTTTTTCAAATTGAGGCAAAGCCTTCATTTTGTCGACACCAATGCCAAAGAAGAAGGCCAAACTTATCGTTTTTGGAAAGTAAGGCCATTATATAATCGAATAAGAGCTACATGCCTTTCCCTTCCCTTGGAGAAGGAGCTCTGCGTAGACGAGCAAATGGTTCCATTCAAGGGAATTTATGCTACTTGTACAGCAAGAGTGGATAGATTCAAGCATCCTCCATTCCAGGATGATAAAGTTATGAAAAAAAGGGGAGAGGTGAAATGGAAGAGCTTATTTCACAAGATGGTGAGGTGATAATGACAAAGTGGTTTGACAATAAACCACTTCACATGGCGTCAACATTTATGGGCATTGGCGACGCCGATAAATGTAAGCGATGGGACAAAAATAAGAAAGAGTACGTTTACGTTTCGCGACCAGAAGTAGTTAAAGTCTATAATGCTTGCATGTGGGTGTAGATAAAATGGATTTTCCAATACAAATATATAGGACTTTCATAAGGTCTAAAAAATGGACATTACGCTCATTCACTCATGCGTTGGACATAGCTTGTACGAATGCCTGGCTAGAGTACAAAGAGAAAGCGATTCAATTGGGGATACTAAAAAGAGATGTATTAGATCTTCTTCACTTCAGGGCTTATATAGCTGAAGCGCTTATATTAGCCGACAAAACCACTTCTCGCTAACGAGGCAGGCCATCTCGTGAATCAACACCCACAGTACCTACATTTTCAAGGGGACTCAGGAAGTGCGTCCAATACGGGAAGTGCGGTATGATGGACAGAACCATTGGCCAATCCACGAAGATAAAAGTCTGCGATGAGGTGCAAAAATCCAGGGTGCAAAAAACAGTCACGTATTTTGTGCAACAAATGTAAAGTACATTTATGTTTAAATAAGAGTTCTAATAGTTTTATAAGTTTCCATAATTCCTAAGGTTATTAAAATTTAATTTAAATTTTCACTGTTTTATTACTGTTTAGTCACGATGTCGTCAATTTACGACGTATTGCCACCCCTGAACGAGGGTAGATAACCCTTTATGGATTATGTCAAAAAATTGCAAAAAAAATTAGCTTCCCACTAGTAAAGTTTTAGATTTTTTACTCCACCCAATTAAAATAGTGACCGAAAGGGTTAATAAGAATATTTTTTAAATAATTAAAATGAAACTAAAGCAATATATTTTACTGAATTTTGTATGATTTCTGTGTATTTTTGTTAATTAATAAATTATTATTTTTTTACATGAGTGCTGATTATTATTTGTATTTCTGCATATAAAAATTTTTCACTTTCGAGTTACATTTTAAATTGTCTCTTTTTTCCTGTATACGCCTCTCTTCCAAATTTAATTTTCTCTCTTGCAAATCCAACTCAATTTTTTTTATAGCCTGTTCTTTGGCATTTCTATTTTCAATGAAATGTATTGCATCTTTTTATACAGCTCATAATTTTTTTTCTGTTTATTAGGCTCTAAAATCAATAGATAAAGATGCAGTATGTGCACCTCCCCTCAAAAAAGCCATGAGTACCCTCATTATATTGGCACTTGGTATAAAAGCAATGTTACTAAGTGAAGATAATATATAAATCAACTACCATACTTTTAAGTGGATTTTCGGCTACTTCAGCTAAACTAATTGAATATAGTACTTTTAGGCGGATTCTTTAAGAAATTATCTAATTGATAGAGAAATTATTTTTGCTTAGCTTATTTTCGTTTGGATATACTGTTAGTAGCAAGATTAAAAAACCCTGAATTCAAAGCAAATATATTTACTTGCATAATCACATATATGAGCAGGATTCTCATTACTTGCTGCAGGTTTTTTACTATTATCGTCTAGTAAGTTTATATCTGTTATCACATCGACTGAAGATATTTCATGTTCAAACCCTTCAATCTAATAATCACGAATATTTACCTAAAATATATCATCTTGTTCATCTACAATAAAAATTTAAATTTTATAAAGTTCATAAGGTTTAATTTTTTCATATTCTCACCTTCAATGACAAAACTATCATCATGCCTAGGAATTTCTTTATAAAAAGCAGCTGAAGTAGATGCTCTGCTTTCTTTGCCCAGAACTATAAATTTATCATTCCGGGAAATGTTTGGCTTTTTAGCTTTCCTTAAAATATTTCATTCCCTGTAAATATCCACAAGTTCTTGCAATAAATTACCAGGTGTTTCAAAAAGGTGGTCTAACTATAATTTTCAATTATTTAAATAAAGCTACCGCCAATCGCATGAGTACTTTTCCCAACTGAAAGCTAACACATACACACATATTCAACGAATTAAAATTCTTCCTGTTTACATAAACATGCTTATTCTCTGCTAGATTTGTTAAAGCAATATGTGTGCAGTCTATGATTCCAGATATTCCTGGAATAATTAGCTTTTTCAAAAAATCTAAAAATAAACAGAATTTGCAAGGTAAAATATTTTTTTTGTTTTAGGTTTATTGGAACGAAAACAAAACAACAAGTTGCCTGTACTAATGCATTTTATTTACAGTTTATGAGAATATAATAATTTTAATATAGAAAAGTAAGGATTAAAACAGGAAGCGTAGGAGACAGATCGAAGGGGGGGGTTGACTTCGATATACTTTAGGGCTATAATTTGACCACAAACTTGCGCGTACAAATGCTCTCAAAACCCTTGAATGTCTATCATTACATAATGGAGATGGTTTACAAAGTAACTAGGTATCTTTTAATTTACACAAAGTTTGTTGCTTTTTATAAATTCGTATTTTTCTTCCCGAGGTAATGGTTTGAATTTAAAACAGAAGTAATTTGAATGATTAAGTTACAAAACAGACATTTCTTTCTGGTTGTTTGATTATTAAAGACAAGAGGTTCAGATTGTACATGATAACTTACCTTTGTTACTCTTTGATTGTGAGTAGCTGAAGTACCTGAATTGATCTACACCTCTGGAAGAAATATATTTTTTAGAGCCAAGCATCTGCAGTCAAGAAATGTAGTAAAAGCGTTATGAGTTGGCAACGACCCTCTAGTAGACGTTGAGCGTTTAGCTATCTCATAGGCTCTACGAGTACCCATATCTAATTTGTTCAACAGATTAAAGATAAGTATTAAATCCCATGATTCACAAGAGCATTCAAGTTTTTTAAGGTTTCCCACATTTTGTTTTATTTTAGTCATAAATTCTCTGAAGGAGCTGTGGGTAAGTTTAGACAAAGCTGGAATTTCTGAAATTTTTCGTATGTGTGCAAAAATGGTTTTTATATTATCATATTTTTGTTTTAGTGTATCTAAAGCTACCTTGAGATTGTCTTTTGTTAATTGTAGATTTTCAATTAATTTCAGAGGTTTATTATTCAAATAATTTTTTAAGTAAATAAGTTTTTGTACATCAGTGAGATCGTCATTGGTAGAAATCGTATAATAAATTTGATAAAAAGATAATTTGGGGTGATGTTTGCACTAATATTTGCTGCGATTGCACTAAACCAGCTTAAAAAGTGAGTGTTTGATCTTTTTACGTAATTTAGAATGTGTAGAATATTTCTTCAAATTCATCATAGTCTTTTGTTTCCTCAGGAACACGGAGGATAATTTGGACTTGCACTTGTTTATATTCAATGAAAGCTTATATTAAGTCTTCTTCAGGTGAGAAAAATTTAAAAATTTCATTTTCAGTTGCTGCAGTTCTATGAGATTGTAATCTAGAATAAAACGTTAATGGATTTTTATTTATGCTTTGTTTAAAGCTAGGTAAATCTTGAATTAGCAAATTAAATCTCTACTGTCATCAAAATGAGCATTTAATAAAGCATAATATCACCATAATTTTAGGGGTACGAGAATTAATGAATTGTGCTGCTTTTCCTTGTAATTGATTTCTAATATGTATTAATAATACATTGATATAATTATGAAAAGCTATAGAATCGCTGTCATATTTTGAAATGATACTAAAAGTTTCTAATAGTTTATAATTAATTATTTCTTCTCCTTGTTCTTGCTGTTGGAATGATTGTGGCCCTTTGTCATTTCGTTATTTATTAACGGAAAAAAAATCTATTTGTATATGAAAGTTATATACTGGGTTACTTTGTTGTAAATCAAATTTAAAATAAAACAATTGATATTGATTAAAGTTATACACTTACAGTTTCTTTCTCTTCTCACTGCCAGGGTTTTTATTATATGTTCCTAATCCTCAGGGAAGATCAGCAACTGGATAGACGAAGTGTTCTCTTTGCCAGGGGTTTCGTCAGGTGTTCCTAATCCACAGGGGATCCATCGATGAGGTTTTCCTATTAAGGGGAAGTTCTTTCTTGGCTAAGAGATAGGAATCCGCCGTTAGGTTAGCTGTGCTCGGAGCTTCTTGTTTCTCAACGTTCCAGGGGGTTAATTTTTGAAACCATTCGCCACCTGACGTATGCGAAAACGTATACTTTTACCAAAACTGTATTTTTTACTTACTCGTTTTCGCATGCGGGAAATTGACATCACTTGCGAATGTATGGCACCATTTTGCCATTCGTTATGCGGATCTCGAATGGTGGAATGACACATGACACTTTGTTTTGAAGTTAATATGTCATTGCAATAATTTATTTATTAAATAGAAATAGGAAAATTGTTATTTATTCATAAAAGAGAAAAATGGAAAATCGTGGTTTAAAAATCACTAGTGATCAACGAAGTACTCTGATTGATTTTATGAATAGTTACCCAGAGTTGTCAGTGGGAAATTTACGGTTTTATTCACTGTGAAAAAAGCAACATCCCTATGGACTGATGTTGCAAATGACTTAAATTCAATGCCAGGAGCCAAAAAAGATTGGCGTCAATGGCAAAAAGTGAGTATTTATCTACAACTTAAGTGATAGGCTTCCATTAAATAAATCAATTTTGCAAATAGTCTTGTTAAGGATTATAATTTGGCCCCATTAATTTTTTGTTCAATATTCTGAATTTTGTAGTGTTGGCATGACATGAAGTCAAAGACGAAGGGAAAACTGTCGAAAATAAAATCGCAGATGGGACAAACGGGAGGAGGTGAACCACCAGAACAGGTTTTAAGTGCATGGGAGGATTCCTTATTAAATATAATTAGACCTACTGTGTGTGAGGGCCATAACAGTTGTATGGAGTCTGTAATAGAAGTTGTAAGTTTGTAATTAAAAGTAAGCACAAAGCATGTAACAAAATTTTTTAGGAATCGCAAGAACATGTCGAAAATGTAAATGATCATGATTATGTAGTAAATAAAGAGACTGAGAGAAATGATCCAGTAGATACTACGGAAATGTCGGATTCGGAAAATCTTCCTCCTCAAACAAGTGTTCAAAGTAAGACACAATTTTTTTGTTTACTTTTAATTTTTAATGTAAAAATTACTTTACAGGAAGTTCTAAAAATAAAACCCCTTTAGGCAGGAGACAAGAAGTAAAACAATCAACTGAGGCTACAATAAATTTGACAAATGTAACTAAAAAAAGAAACGTCATTATAAGTAATTATTATACGCAGAAAATAAACTTACTTCGTGAAAAAAAATGAACTGCAACGGAAGCAAAATAACATTTTGGCAGGCATTTTAGCTGCACTGACGGCAATAATTGAAAAAATAATGTTGCCGATTAACAGAGTATTTTAATATTGATTTTATCCGTTTTATTTTTTATATTTTATGTTGATATGTGATCTCATTTAATATTTTGTGATGTTTTTGTTATAGTTTTTTTATTAGTGTTACGGGTATAATAAAACGCACCACACCCGAATAAATCACTTTTATTAACCGAAAAATAATAACAACGCCAATCGCCAAAAATTATAAATTGAATTGTAACACACGCCTACTGTGGAACTCGAATAGGTACAAACTGCCACACCGCTATCTCGCCTTCTCGCTGGTACCGTAGTTCGCGCCTAGCTCCGATACCTGCGCCCTCTCACGCCGCTTCGATGCGTTGGAAACTTGGATTCCCGACAGTGGCGTAACATTCGGCCATCCTGAAAAATTAAATGTCCCCATTAATTACATACACAATACTAATTGTCTTAGTCGATATCACTTTCATCAATCTGCCCCTGGCACTCCTCATCTGTATCAGACTCATACTCAACCTCATTCATCCCGTGATACCGTCTAAGAGAGTCTACAGCGACGACCACTTGGAAGCGCTTGTAGCCTCAATTCGATATCGATCATGTCCTAATACCTTACCTACTCTATACGGACCATCGAATTTATTTGCCAATTTACTACTAACACCTACGCCCGCCCTTTTTGTAGCTGAATTCCTCCAAAGCACCAAATCTCCAATTTCATAAATGGTTGCAACCTTTTTACCTTTATCAAAATTCTTTTTCATTTTACGTGCAGATTTTGTGATATTAGCCAAAGCCCTAGTATGATCGGAATGAACTCTCTCCCCGTCTGAAAAGACCGGGCATGGGCCAGATACCACAGCCTTCTCTAGGTTTGGGAGCTTATCACTAACCACACCTGCCTTGACTAATGGGTCCTGAAGTTTTACCCTTTTTCGATCAATGGGAGATGAAACATCTCTAGTCATAGCCCTTTTGTTGAGTAACCTTGAGCTTCGTCTCCTTCGCCCACCTTGCTCATCTCGCCCGCCTCGCCCTCCGCGCCTAGAGACTTGGAGACCAAAGTCGTCACCCTGATCCACCAAGCGGGTGTCGATATTACCTAATACCCTGTCGGGCTCACCAATCTCCTCAACCTCCTTCGCCTCGACATCGCTCCTTTGTACTGCACGCTCGACACCCTGAACATCCACCATGTTCTTGAGACTCCCACCAGCCCCGTTATTATCGTCATCGCTAGCTAGCTCGCCATCCGCCAAATCGGTTACTCGGCCATGACTATGGGAAAACATTAAATGTGCAGGAGAAAAACGTGTCCCAGCATTGATCATATGATTGAGTCCCCACACAACATCCGACAATTTCTCGTCCCACCGACCTTCAGCCTCTACAGTCGAAGATAAGGCTTCTACAATCGTCCTGTTGGGTCTCTGCACTTGTCCGTTCGCCCTAGGCGTTGCCACCGCATTCAACACGTGCTGTACACCCCTATCCACCAAAAACTCCTTAAACTCCTTACTAGTAAACGCCTTGCCTCGATCCGATATGATTCGCCTTGGATAACCAAACTCACCGAAAACCTCCTTTAAACGTAAAATAGTTTCAGACGACTTAACAGATTTTGTAGGCTTCGCTATAAGAAATTTAGTAAATCCATCCACCACCATTAAAATATACGAGTTACCTTTAATGCTTTTCACAAATGGGCCCAAATGGTCAACATGTATTGTATCAAATGGTACTGGTCGACGCTCAATTGGATGTAACAACCCTTCGACTAAACCGTACTGACCTTTTGCAAATCCACACCTCAAACATGACTTGACGTACTTAGACACAAAACGTCGCATATTAGGAAACCAATACGTCTCTGATATTAAAATTAGACACCTTTCAAGGGCCGGATGACCTGTCATCATGATGCTTTCTAAGAATACTGAATCTAGCCATAGCTGGTACATACAACCTATCTCCATGTGAAGTTATACGATAAAGTCGCCCATGTTTCACCTTATAAAGCGCCTTGGTCTGTTTGTCAACGTTTTCTAATGCCAGTAGTCTCACAATTTCTTGCGCCTTAGGATCTTGCAGCTGCACCGTTAAAAACCAATCATTCTCCGACATCGTAACACTATTTACGCAGACTTTATTGACAGGTGGGTTCCTACTTAAAGCATCAACATGCTGCATACGGTTACCAGGTCGATATTCTATCTCCATGTCATACTCCTGAATCGCCAACCACCACCGAGCTATTTTAGGAACCAAGTCTCTCTTAAGTAACGCCGCTCTCACCGCTACACAGTCAGTCACCACTTTAAAACGTTTTCCAACTAGATACACCCTAAAACGCTTAACAGATTCAACTACAGCCAACGTTTCAAGCTCATAACTGTGATACACCTGCTCCTGCACCGTGGTAGCCCTACTAAAATATTCAACAGGTCTCAACTTGTCATCTGCCCCTTTTTGCTAGAGAATACCTGACAATCCCAGCTTACTAGCGTCAGTATGCAGTTCTGTATTCGCCTGATTGTCGTACAATGCTAACACAGGTCTATTCGCCAGATAATCCTTGAGTAAATCAAAAGCCTCCTGTTGCTCGCTGCTCCAACTCCAAGGTACATCCTTCTTAGTAAGAATAGTCAATGGTTTCGCCAACACCGCAAAGTTTCTAATGAATTTCCTAAAATAAGAAGCTAAACCAATGAACTGTCTAACACCATGCACATTTTTAGGTATTGGAAATTCTTGTACGGCTTGTATTTTACGCCTTCCAGGACGAATACCTTCTCCAGTCACCTCGTGTCCTAAATATTCAAGAGTATTTTGCAAGAAAGAACATTTCTCCAGTTTGAGCTTAACACCTGCTTGTTCAATCAACCCTAAAACCATTTCTAGCATCGCTAAACCCTCTTCTTCGCCTGCAGCTGGTATCAAAAGATCATCGATGTAAGCTAACACCTCGCCATATCTCAGTTTACCTAACATCTTATCAATGATGCGCTGAAACACCGCTGGTGAATTAGAAAGACCAAATGGCACTCGCAAATACGCATAATGGCCATCCGGTGTGATAAACGCTGTTTTATCCACCGAATCTGGATTCATTGGCACCTGATGAAACCCCTGAGCTAAATCTAAAATGGTAAAGAGAGTTTTATTCGCCAATTTGGTAAGCTGATCCGAAATCAAAGGTAGTGGGTAACGGTCCTTAACAGTGACAGCATTTAAAGCCCTATAATCAACACACATCCTTATCTCACCAGACTTTTTCGGTATCAACACAATAGGACTAGCAAAAGCAGATTCACTTTCTCGTATCACACCCGCCTCCAAAAGAGTATCCACCTTCTGCCTGACCAGCTCTCGTTCATGATGAGATAACCTATAAGGCCTATAATATACTGGTACGTCAGTAGTTAATTTTATTTGCATGCTTCCTAAGTTAGTTAACCCAATATCATCCTCACCTGTGGAAAAACACATAGATTTACGCTTTAATAAGGAACATAGACGTTTTCTACATGTCGCTGATATATCTCCTACATTTAAACCTGAAATGTCTAAGCTACTATTATTAGATAAGGAAAGCTTTCTCACTTGTGACTCCGACGCTCCTGTTACATCATCGCTCGGCTGGCACGCCTCCACTCGTGCGATGAGTCGTCCTTTCCTCCATTTAATCTCGCCGTCGCCGTCGTTAACCACCTTCACCTCCTCCAGACCGGTTCTCAACAGCCCCGATGGAATAAGGACATTGGAGGCTTTATGGGGGAAGTACTTCTTTTCCATGAAATAGATGGTGCCTGGAACGCCATTTGTCATCCTCACCTTAATCCTGCTGACAGAATTAGGCTGCAACACGACATCTTCCGCCAGTAGCGCCTTCGGTCTGGTAGATTCGCCGTCCAAGGAGATCTCCTTCATCAACTCGTTGATGTCCGGGTCCCTCCTCAGATAGGACTTCCCATTCCTCACCACCATAGTGATTCCTGGACCATTGATGGTTGGCTGGCCCAGAAGCAGCTCGATGCGGCCCATCTCGTCGTCAGTTACCAACGCCTTCACGGTGTGCACCTCGTCAACAAGGGTCATCTGGAATGACACTTCTCCCAGAGAGGTTGCTGCTCCGCCGCCGAATCCACAGAGTTGGACGTCGCCTTCGCCTTCGTCTACGTCTAGATCAAGCCGTCTTACCGTAGAGAGGGAGATAAGGTTCTGCTCACTCCCAGTGTCCAAGTAGGCCTTGACATCTTGGCCGTTCACCTTCACCAGATGCCTAAAACAACTATCAGAGGGAGTGATAATCAATCTTACCTGCCTCCCAGAGGAAGCATTACTCCTGTTGCCGCTGGTGGTCGCCGCCCTGCACTCCGGAAGCCGATGTCCTGCTTTGCCACAGCCCCTGCAAATGATGGATGGTGGACGGGGACAGTCTCTGCTCAGATGGGTCGTAAATTTCTGGCAGTTGTAGCAGCGCTTCAGGAAGGGCTCCTCCACCCGTTGGACAGCCGGTTCGGACCTCCTCGCCTTGTGATCCTCCCTGTAGCTCTCCAGGCCTGCCAAAAATTTATTATAGAGCTTGTCCGGAGTGTCGCAGTTGGCCGCTTGTGCATTGGCTCTCAGGTTCTCTGGTAACCCACGGATTATGCAGGAAACGGCGTTTTCTCCTTTGACGCCGATGCGGTCACACATGGCCAGCTTGGTGTGGTAGTAGGTGGTCATTGTCTCACCTGGTATCTTCCGCCTGGCTGCCAGCTCCTCCAACATGATGGCGAAGTCTCGCCTTCTTGGGAACGTCGTCCTCAACTTCGCCTTCCACTGGTCCCAAGTCAGGTCGTAGTCTTCCAACTGGTGGTACCAACGTTTAGCCGATCCCTCCAGCTTGGATTGGGCCAATATGGATTTTTCATTGGGGGACAATCCATGGATTTCTCCCATCT